CACGAATATCCACACGTCTTCAGAGTCCTCCACAGACAGCTGAGATAAACAAATCAAGTTACACTGTTTCCAGGAGTCCATGATGTATCCAACTGGATCTGCCGCGGAGGGGCATCCGGGAGCCCCTTCTCCCATTCTCATCGTTATCAGTCGCGTTGAGAGACCAACTGACGAGATCCATTTTGGTGAATTTCAGTTTCCAGTTTTCAGAAAAAATGCAGAAGCAGCCGTGCACCCAGCACACAGAGACAGACAAAGGGCCTTGAGGATAAGATATGGAGGAGAGGAGGAAAAAAGCGTCTGCACCCTCCAAGAGCCGAAAGATGGACTCTGAAGCATGGCCTTGGTCAAAAGTTACCCAATCCCTGGCCTCGCAAGGTCAGGCGCCTTGACATCGAGAAACACCCATGGTGTCCCCCAAAGACGCTACACCACTCCCTATGTACTTTAAACCAGATTTTTACGGTTATGTTGCGGAGCCACCAATATTTTTCAACAACTGGACATCATTTTATTCATTTTCAACTATGTTTTGATGAATATTTCCAGAGATTACAGGTAAGCACTACACATTGTCTATTTAAACTTGAGAGGAAGCATCAACACGTCCAACTGGTTTGACCTCCTTGTCTTTCAGCATTTGTACTTTTAGATTCAATAATCACGAGGTGAGTCAACCGTTCACCCTACCTGTTGGTTTGGCATTAACTTGTGCACATTTTGTGCTCTCTCTCTCTCTCTCTCTCTCTCTCTCTCTCTCTCTCTCTCTCTCTCTCTCTCTCTCTCTCTCTCTCTCTCTCTCTCTCTCTCTCTCTCTCTCTCTCTCTCTCTCTCTCTCTCTCAGAAACACACACACTAGCAGCAGCAAAGAGCAATTTGTTAATTTTAAATGGCCTAAACTCACAATAGTCTCAAGGTTACCCAAAAGTCTTCACCAGTTGCTTCATTCTTAATCATTTAATTCTTGAACACTTTCTAAAGTGTTCCAGTTTCAGATCGGAGATTGAAAATGTGACCTCAGCTCTCCCCTTCTAAATACCCAACAGACACCACTGAGGTTCGTTTTCAGGAGGCTGTGCTTTTCCAACCAAGTATCTTCTAAATGTTCTTTTCATCATCCGTACCTCATTTGGCTGTTTAATCATTCTGACTGATTCTTCGGGTGTTTTCATCAGCTTTGTGTGACTGATTTAGTCTCTTTTTGTGTCTCATTTAGCCTTGTTTCTCTTACATTTTGATCAACTGTTTTATTTTATTTTATTTTAATTGTTTTGTTGTGTGATGTGTTTCCTGAAATTAGATTTCCTTTAACCATGATTTCTTCTAAGCCTGTTTGGCAGGCCTGTTCTGTTTCTCCCCTTTCATTCCTCTTTCATCATCCCTTCTTTCATTCTCTCACTTCCCCAGGTGGAGATGCTGGCAGTTCTGTGCTGCTGCCAGAAGATGGGGATCCTGTTCTTTGGTTCAGATGAACCTGCAGCTTGTTAAACTCCACCAATCATCTCTCTGTGACTGATACCAAATTCTGGTGTTGGATACTCCTCATAGTAACTAAATGTACATTTCTGAGTTTTAGCTGTGAATTTACCTATTGATATTATGAGCCACACTTGAAGACACCACATTGATTAGTTCGTTTAGTAAGGTTTTTGATATCATTATATGTTTAGTGCCCAGACTGTTGCCTGTATAAAACTACTTTTTGGACCAGTGCACAAATGTAAATATAATTCTGGATTTTTACCACTTCTAGAAAAGAGTTCATGATTAAGGATTCAGCACGTTTCTCATTCTCATCTGTCTCTGAATACTTGTATCTTTGTTAGAATAAAAAATAGAATAAACTTTATTGATCCCACAGTGGTGAAAATCACTCATTACAGCAGCACATACACTTACAAAAAGGTAGAAGAAAAAATAATAACTAAAGTACCGGTGAATGCACAAAGGCAGTAAGCTATTATTGTAACCTTCAACCACTAAAAACAATTTAAAAAAATGTTAAAATAGAAACTTGGGTTCCAGAACTATGCAGCATAAGGGACACGGACATAAACCCAGTATTGCACAAGTATTGAACACATACTGAATATTGCATTGATGCCATTGTGTACCAGGATAATGCCAGTACCAGTTAAACTGAGGAGGTATCTTACTGCAGATCTGTTTTACATCTTGGATGTCTCAGTGTTTTTCCTCAAAATTCCTCTCTAGAAACATCCATGTGCTCCTTCCATGCCCTCCTCAAGCCCACAGCAGCTCACCAGTCCATGTCTCCCTAACCCATCAATATCCTCGCTTATTACAAAAGAAGACTGCAGTCATATCAAAGTCAGAAACAATCAAGTCTCCCATTACTCTGAACTGGCAGAAACACAGTAACTGACTTTCAGGGTGCAGCTGCAGCCTGAGCTTTTCTTTACTCCTCACTCTCTGATACAAAACACCACTTAAACATCTAAAAACTGATCATTCTGCGTTTTTCCACTTACCGCCACTCTAGACTAATCATTTTCTTTCTGTTATTTACCTGCTTATTTTATAAATGCACTTTAACCCTTTGATGCATAATGGTCACTGCAGTGGACAGGTACTCAAAATTGTTATTTATTTATTTTTGCTATTCAGCACAGCTGTTGAAGACTTTATTGCATTTGAGCCACTCCGTTTGGACTTCAGTAAGTCAAGCCACCATATTTCATGTTCAGAATGCACGTTGTCCACTGAGGTGGACATGTAATAAATTATTTGTAAATTAACAAAATGTTACAAAAAATATTTGTTGAAATTTGTTTCATTCACACCTAAAGATGAATGAAAAAAAATTGTTTAAAAAATCTTGGTTGAAGGTCTCATAATTCATGCATCAGAGGGTTCATTTCAGTTAATGTTTTAAACAAGCACTAGGTGTCGCTCTTGTCTTATACACCCCAATGTTCTTCACCTGAGGGGTGTGATACCTTAACTTTTAAATTGAAGCACCGGTAAGTGTTTTCATCATCAACTGGTGGGAGGAGAAGCTGGATGTGAGTGAGTAACAGCTGTGTAATCACCACTTCACCAGCTCATGGTGGATGAAAACAAAGTAAATAACTCTAAAGCCTCCACGGTCCACTGAGGAGTTTAGTCACAGCCAAGGAGGACCACAGACATGACTCACCCAAGATGTTCAGGGATAAAATTAGACTCTCTGTTCTCGGCTAACCCAACCAAAAACCGCAATGCCTTTATAATCCTACAGGACCAAACTCTGAGCTGAACATCTTACCGCCATACATGAAAGTCCTGAAATAAGTCCACGAAGTCAAACAATAGCTTCCATTTTCTCCAGGTGGAGCAGGAATAAAACAGGCTGATGTTGTGTAACAGGTCCTATACACTAAGTTATGCTTTCTTGGATTTGAAATATTACTGTTAAAACCTATTTGAGGAATATTTCTGTAAAGAAAGTTTTACAGCTAAAGTTTGAAGGCCAGCAACTTATAATTCTTGTACAGTTCTGACCTGCTGGGCGTTTTCCTAAAGACTGTAATTAATATTTTTATTGGCATAAATTGAAAACTATATTTCTGGAGCCTCAGTTGACAAATAGAATAGAATAGAATAGAATAGAATAGAATAGAGCACTTTATGTGTTGCTGCAGTTACCCACAACAAAATAATTTCTGGCTTCCACACAAAATCTGCAGTAGGCCTACAGGTGAAACTAAAAATTAGAACATGGTGTAAAAGTTCATTTATTTCAGCACTTTAACCTAAAATGTCAAGCTGCCATCGCAGATAGACTCATCACAGGCAGTGCAGATATTACAAACCTCGTGTCATAATTGTGATGATTATGGTTTACCACTTGTGAAAACCCCCCTTTCTAAATCTCAGACAATTAGAATATTGTGAAAGAAAGAAAGAAAGAAAGAAAGAAAGAAAGAAAGAAAGAAAGAAAGAAAGAAAGAAAGAAAGAAAGAAAGAAAGAAAGAAAAAAAGATATTTGATATATCACCTCTCAAGATAAAAATCACGAAGCACTTCACAAGAACACAAATAAAAAATATATATAAAATATGTTTAAAAATCATTAAAAAATTAAAACATTGAGAAAAAACTGATTACAAATGTAAGGAAAGGGAAAAGGAATAAGAAAGATGTAACCAGTGTCCCGATAGGCGTGATTGGTAGAAAGAGCTGAACAAGGAGAGGGTAGTGATGAAGGGAAAAAGGTGAAAAGGTTCAATATTCTATACTCAAAGTGTCTCACTCTAATCAGCTGATGAATCAAAAACACCTGCAATTGTTTGTGAGCCTTTAGATGGTCTCTCAGTCTAAGATGAATTACTGAAATAAGTGAACTTTTACACTATATTCTAATTGATCAAGTAACACCAGTAAAACTAAAACTGTATTAACAATAAAAACGTAAGATGAAAACTGCTTCCAGTATAGAGGCACATCCAGAGAGTTTTTTTTCACAAGGTGATCGTGGTGGCACTCCAAAACCACAAGTCATTCACCACACGCCTAATTTGCTTTCTTTCATTCAAAGTCTGTGAAACAAAAGAAAAAAAAAAGAATATAAAGTATGACTATGTATAGAAACGAATAAATGCACCAATTTATCCGCTTTAATTCATGCATTGACTCGTAAATTCAACAATGAGCGGTGGGGTGGGGGTCCATTGACCCCCCTAGGAGTTCCTCTGTTACTGAACTGATTTAAAACTCCCAAAGAGATGGAGTTGATAACAAAGGCTAGTCTTCTGACCTGATGATGGGGGATTTTCATTCTGAAATCCTACAAATCAGTGGACCAAAACATCCATCTGAAGCTGGAAGAAGTCGGGCTTTTATTTTGAAATTCTGCGCACATTTCCACTGATACTTATTTGTGGAACCACCTCTACTTCTCATCTATATGCATACATACCCCTCTTTGTCTCTCTCTCCCCCCTCCGTTTCCTGCGCTGTCCTTCCCCCGCTCTCCTCCCCCCTCCTCGCTGTTGTAAACACACCCATTGATTTAAGTGGGAGCGCAGGCGGAGGAGCGACACTCCGGAGAGGAGCTCAGAGCAGGAGGAGCGCTCACACCAAAGCTGTCCTTATTATTCACCCCGAGTCCTTCTCTCTGAAACATTTTCGGGCATATTTGCGGAAAACGGCTTCTCCATCGTTGCTGATTTGTGCGCCTTAATTTCGGGAAGTGGAGAGGAAGGAAGGAGTTTCGCTCCCCCTCCGGGCGCAAGGCGGCTTGCATCGTGGCTCTTTCACAAGTGGCATGTCCGAGGGAGACTGCGGGCACAATTGAACTCCTGCTTTCACCCAAAGAGGTAAAAAGACACACGTTAGAGTTTTTAATAATATTATTATGATGTAATTATGGTTGCGCGCTCCGTTACTGACTCCAGACCGTTCCAATCAGTAGGCTTAACGGAACCCAATTGAAATCAATTTTCGTCCTAATCTTGTTCGTATGTGTTGTATTCCTCTTTTTGCACGTTTGTTTTAAGAGCGCCATCAGGTGCGTTTGCGTCAGTTTAAACCCGGCCGGCTGTGCGCGCAGCTGCTTTGAAGGTTGCGGGTTTGATTGCGTTCAGGATGAATGAAGACTGGAGATCGATGGCTTTGTTTTGCATCATGGTCGGCAGATGAGGGGGACTAAGTCCACATAAGCCTGGTGTTTACTTTTGAAGTTGCCTCCCTCCCATCCCTTTTCCTGTGCCCATGCTTGGCTGTGAGCACCTGGCAATGATTTGAAGCAGCCAGGCCTCAGACGGAGTCCACACAGGGGGAGGCTTTTTCTTCCTTCTCCTGCGTGTGGCATGTACTGTCGTCTCTGTGAGTCCTTGAAGGGATGCTCATCTCATCTCACAGCCAGACACACATGCTTGCACTGGTGCTACTTTTCCTGATTCCTAAAGTGAATTCTGTCAGCCTGGAGATCTTTTCTCTGTTAATATGGAAAATAGTAGAAAAACACACCCTGATTAACAGGATTGGTGTATTCAGGCATGTGGCAAAAGAACTTACAAATTGTGGAGCATTTTAAAGATCTTTTATTTTGAAAAATAAAAATAAAACAAATGATCATCAGCAATATTACCAATAAATATTAAAAATACGCAAACATTGAGGAAAGCCATGTGGATTTACTCTCCCACATGTTCGTCTGCTCTTTATCTTAAGTTATTAGCATTTAAACTAAAAGCAAACTAGTCCCTGTTTAAATGTTCCGTTCACTCCTTTGAGTTTTTATCTTTTGCGATCCCGTTTTTTTTTTTTTTTTTTTTTTTTTTTTTTTTTTTGTCTTGCAAATAGATGAAAGTGTTATCCTGGTTCATCCGTGAGCTGATCCATTTACAAAAATGCAAATCTTTGATTACACAAAACTCTCTGATAAACCTTTGAGATGGGACGCCTTTGTTGCTGTTGTTTGGGTTGTTGACTTGGCATTTCATGACCAAGTTGATTCAGACAGGAAATGATTTTATTGTGAAAAAGTCACCATGATGACATCTGTTTCTTATTTCTGCTTGTGTTAAGTAATAGCATAATTCTTTTGACTCTGTATTTTACTCATTTCTACACAGAAACATGGTACTGAGGTCTGGACACTCGCTAACTTACATAAAAAATGACAAAGTCTTAAAATGAGATGCAGAGCAGATGAAAATAAAATAACCGGCACCATTAAATCACAAATATTTGGAAAACGGCTCAAATGAAGACAGGCAAATATAAAATACGATCAAATGTGGCACAAGATGTTAAACATTTCAGTTAAAAGACACAAAGCAATCACCAAGAAATGGAAAAATAAAGTCAAGTAACAGAGTAGAAAAAAAGTCAACCTGATTCATAAAAGATGGACAGTTATTAATAGAGACCAAAAATGACCACAATGAGACAGTTTCTGTTCAAAACAGCCTAATGCTCAAATCTGTTCACCTCCTGTTGGAAAATAATCAAGCATGATATTCAATGTGATCCTGATAGTTTATTTCACAATAAGAGCTTCGGCTGCGTGACGAGTGAAGGTGAGAAACCAGGAAATGGATCTTCTCATTACAGCTGAAGCCAGAATGACGTAGTCATGGAATGTGATAAATCCTGTTTAACGGAGTTTGCAAAGGGCTTTTTGTTTCATAAACTTCTTTCAGAAATTATTTTACTTTTAAGTAAACGAGGAAACGTGGCAAACTTTGGGAAAAAAAAGTATAAATTGCACCCATGAAGGAGACATTTGCTGCCATTAACTTTAATGTGACTGTCTCACGGGCTGTTTGGGTTCAGCCTTTAACCAAAAAGTTGGTTTTGCGAGTGAGCGAGAATGAAAGGATAACGCAATCTGCCTGCAGCAACTTTACTGACAATGCAAGGCTGCGCTTGAAGCACCGCACATCAGAGCCATGTGGGAAGTGCCAACACCAAAATGCAAATGTGGGTTCAAAGCCACAGCGCTGTGTTATTATGCAGATGTTATCATTCCCTATAAAGTGTGTGGTTAAAAAGGACCAGAATATGGAAGCTTCACATCTGAAAATGCACGATAACCTCTTTGGTGATTCGTGAACTTCAAAACACAAGTTCAAAGTCATTCATTCAGAATTCACCAAAACCTAAAGGTATAAGTGACATGAATCATCATCAAAAAATAAATAAATAAATAAAACAATCGCTCGTTTCTTGAGGATTTTCAAGCAGGTGATGCAACTTATGGAAAATGGAATCCGTCCTCCTCTCCGTAGTTCAGTTGTAGAGGAATCGTTTATGACAGGAGGGGCCTTTTGAACTCACATTGGCTCAAACTGAAAATCTTTCCTCAACATCAAACCCATTCCTCCTACAGGGTAGTCAAACATTTGACCTTTAGGACAGTTCAGCTCTGGACCAAATGATAATCTAAATAATCCAAAATGTTGATTAAAATGAAAATCCAGACATGCAGGCAAAGTAAATACTCAACTTTACGCATAAATAATAGTCTTCTACAACTATGTCCTGCATTAGCTGCCAATAGAAGGTAGAAGAAGATTAGAAAATCTTGACAGATCTACGTCACACTGAAAATTAAAAATCTTGACTCGCAACGGGAAAGGCTGTTGTTGGTTTAGCTTCCAGGAATCAGCAGAGAACGTCTTAGCTAGTAGAAGCTAACTATTAGCATAAGCAACTCCACAACATGGCGTAACTCCTTCAGGCTTGAGTTATTTGTGGAGATAAAACATCATCGCTGCAAAGCAGACAAAGTCAGGGGTAGAGTTGCATTGCTGTATTCTACTGCCCTCTCCTCTGGCTAACTTCTACTTCCTGAAACAGGAGCACCAGAGCTTCATCTCACAAGGCATTCATTTATGCTAGAGACAACTGCAAATGTATTATGTTTATGTTTCTGTATTTAGCAGACGCTTTTGTCCAAAGCGACTTACAAGTGATAATCAGCATGTTGTCCTTGAGGCTAACAACAACAATAACAACAACTTGACATCAATCATGGAGAGGAGGGAACAATGGAGTGGACGGTAGAGAGGGGGGGATGGGTATTAAAAATGGATTTGGACTTTTGAACATCTGTAAAGGTCAGAGAGGAAGTTTGCACAAGAAAATAAAAGAATATGATCAGCAGGTATCCAAGCTTGCAGGTTTAATTCCATGTTTGAAATCAGTTTGCTGGATGTTTAAAAGACCTTTTGCCATCAATCTTTGGAATCTTTGGAATTCCCATTAGCTTACAGGTTTGCCGCTCTTTGCAGCTGTTTGCTGCCAATAAGGAAGCTGGAAATGTGCCAAAACCACTTCAGGCACGTCTTAAAAAAACAGATTTCATGGTGTGTTTTATAGCGCTTTTGTAAATAAAGCACAAGACCAGGTGTATTTGACACTTCTAGAAAAAGTGGTTTGAGTGATTGAGAGCTCTGAGTCAGGACGGAGCAGGGACACTAAATATTTTAATTTAATTTTTTCTCTTGAGAGACTGAAATAAATTGTGCGTTTGTGTGTCCTAATGCATTTTCTGCTCAGAACTAATGAAAGTCTCTGGAGCATACACCCTTAATATTTTTATTCACTTTGTACATTTCCTTTGGTCAGCATTGTAGTTCCTTTAGTAAATGCATGCTATTTACATTTTGTGGATATTAGAACAGAACAAGTTAGGATTTCTGCATCAGCTTAACGGTGTTTTTTTATCTTGAGCACCCACTGCTGACAATAACATTTGTTAGGAAAATTAGTCATATTTTACAAGCTGACTAATCTGCTTTTTGACTATCCATGAAGATAAACAATCCTGGCTTATTTTAACGCCTTCATTTAGTCCTGATATGACAGTGCCACAGAAAAAAAACGCTGGAAAATGTAATTTATGACTCTGTAATGAAATAATATTTTGTTGTTTTCGCTCTCATGGACTTAAAACAATTTCCTTTATCATTTCAGGATTCAATGAAAATGTCCGTGTGCGTCCATGAGAATCGGAAATCCAGAGCCAGCACTGGCTCCATGAACATCTACCTTTTTCACAAGTCGTCCTACGCTGACAGTGTCCTCATGCACCTCAACGCTCTACGGCAACAAAGGCTTTTCACAGACGTCCTCCTTCATGCTGGCAGCCGATCTTTTCCCTGCCATCGAGCCGTGCTGGCTGCTTGCAGCCGCTACTTTGAGGCCATGTTCAGCGGTGGGCTGAGAGAGAGTCAGGCCAGTGAGGTCGACTTCCGAGACTCGATCCATCCGGAGGTTTTGGAGCTCCTCCTCGACTATGCGTACTCATCACGGGTGGTCATCAATGAAGAGAATGCAGAGTCCTTACTGGAGGCGGGTGACATGCTGGAGTTTCAGGACATCCGTGATGCCTGTGCTGAATTCCTAGAGAGGAATCTCCACCCGTCCAACTGTCTTGGTATGCTGTTACTGTCTGACGCCCACCAGTGTACAAAGCTGTCGGAGCTCTCCTGGGGCATGTGTCTAAGCAACTTCCCTGCCATTTGCAAGACAGAGGACTTCCTCCAGCTGCCCAAAGATATGGTAGTCCAGCTTTTGTCACACGAAGAGCTAGAAACGGAAGATGAGAGACTGGTTTATGAAGCTGCACTTAACTGGATCAACTATGACCTAGAAAGGAGGCACTGCCATCTTCCAGAGCTCCTGAGAACAGTTCGCCTTGCCCTACTGCCTGCCATCTTTCTCATGGAGAATGTTTCGACAGAAGAGCTGATCAACGCCCAGGCAAAGAGCAAAGAACTGGTGGATGAAGCCATACGCTGTAAGCTGAAGATCCTCCAGAATGATGGCGTCGTCAACAGCCCTTGTGCACGACCAAGAAAAACCAGCCATGCCCTCTTTCTTCTTGGAGGGCAGACTTTCATGTGTGATAAGTTATACCTGGTGGACCAGAAGGCCAAAGAGATAATCCCAAAAGCTGACATTCCCAGTCCTAGGAAGGAGTTCAGTGCCTGTGCCATTGGCTGTAAGGTGTACATCACCGGTGGGAGGGGATCAGAGAACGGTGTGTCCAAAGATGTATGGGTCTACGACACTGTACATGAAGAATGGTCAAAGGCGGCACCAATGCTCATTGCCAGGTTTGGCCATGGCTCTGCTGAGCTGAAACACTGTCTCTACGTTGTAGGAGGACACACTGCAGCAACTGGTTGTCTCCCAGCCTCTCCGTCTGTTTCGCTTAAACAGGTGGAGCAGTTTGACCCCACAGCAAACAAGTGGACCATGGTGGCACCTCTCCGAGAGGGTGTGAGTAATGCAGCAGTGGTCAGCGTAAAGCTCAAGTTGTTTGCCTTTGGAGGCACCAGCGTCACCCACGACAAGCTGCCTAAGGTTCAGTGCTACGATCCCCAGGAGAACCGATGGACTGTGCCGGCATCCTGCCCACAGCCATGGCGTTACACCGCCGCCGCCGTTCTGGGAAACCAGATCTTTGTGATGGGTGGCGACACAGAATTCTCTGCCTGCTCAGCCTACAAGTTCAGCAGCGAGAACTATCAGTGGACTAAAGTTGGCGATGTGACGGCCAAGCGCATGAGCTGCCAAGCCGTGGCATCAGGAAACAAACTGTATGTGGTGGGCGGATACTTTGGCACGCAGCGGTGTAAAACTCTGGACTGCTATGACCCCACTCTTGATGCGTGGAACAGCATCACTACTGTTCCATACTCGCTCATTCCCACTGCATTCGTCAGCACCTGGAAACATCTTCCTGCTTGAGTCCAAAACTGTTGACATGTACCCTCTCCATTCGGTAAGACCACCTTCTAATTTTACTCCCTAAGAGTGCTTTTGACTAAATAAGCTGAGGGCGTGTGAATCGAAAGACCAAATCAGCCAGTCCATGTGGCTTAAATGTTATGTCTTAGGGTTGAGAGGCACTGGGATGCTAGAGGGCCCTGCTCAGCAAAATGTGATCAAGCAGAGGGAGGGTAGAGCTGTGGGGAAGAATTGATCAAGTATTTTGTACTTTAGTTGGTGATCCACGAGGCTGTGAGGAGAGGCCGCAGGACAGAAAAGGTCATTGAAAGAGAATAGGATACTTTCATGGCTCCTGTGGGGGCCGTCTCTTTAAGGAAAAAGCAGGGTTGCCAATTAGACAAGCTGAACACCAGCAGGTGGCAAAACCTTGGTGAGGTTAATCCACTCTCAGTCGCCTTCCTTTGATGAGGTTGTGGTCTTCACACTGGGTGAGAGGGAGGTAGCCTTCGCCTCACACTGTGTCAGAAACCATTCATCAGCAGCTACAAGAGGAGGTGACTGAGAGAAGTGGAAGCAGGGGAAGTGAGGAGTAGAGCTTGCCAGCATTAAGCCTCATCTTTCTCAGTCCGGTCACACACACACACACACACACACACACACACACACACGCACACACGCACACGTGCGCACACACACACACAAACACACACACACACACACATCCTTCTTGACAGTGGTGATCTGGCACTGAAGATTTATTGTTTTTAGACTCAACAGCCTCTTCTGCTTCCATCCACGGCTTAATGGCCTCGTTCTAACCCTGCACTCCTGCTCTGATGATGAATAGGCCAGACGTATGTGGAGCGCGGGTAGTTAGCTGGCAAACTTGATCTTTCTGCTCGCCGTGGAGTCACGATCACATCACACAATTCCCACATGAATACCCCCGCACATAACTTTTTAAATGGCTGGCAGACCTCGACTCCTGAGGATAAAAACGAGCGAAGTGGAGTGACTTCTCAGCTGTCCGCCTTTTCATAATGCCAGGAGACGGCTTAGAGCAGCTCCACCGCTGTGCTGCCATGATGGTGCTTCTCCTCACAGGGTGAAATCATTTTTTTAAGGCTTATTATTATTCCCCGTCTTTTTCAGCGACTTATTTCTGAGAAGGGAAGAGACTGGCCTGAAGGTGTGAACTATCTCTTAAGCCAGAGCAACACAGTGTTCAACGAAGAGAATAATCCTGCCACTAATTTAACACAGAAGTTGGATTTTGTGTGCTTGCCCGTCATGGCAACTGACACTTACTGAACGTAGTGAAAAGACAAAATGTGGAGGAACGGGAAAGAGGGCTGAGTGTTAAAGAAGGGAAGGAACAGGAAGTAGAGCTCACAGAAGGAGGTTGTAGCTCCGAGATGGGAGAAAAAAAAGTTCTCTAAGTTTTTCACAGGGGAACAACTCAACTTCTGTCAGATCTTTTCCTCTTAGAAAGCTTTTAAAGGAGGTGTGGGGGCGGTCTCTGCGCTGCTGCAGACTTCAGTTTATCTTGGACAGAACTTGCTTTTTATTGCAATCGAAGCCGCGCTTATTAAGTTTTTCTGACAGGCTGCTCCTAAAGGTGTGTCCTACACAGTCTCCATGCAGCCTCTGGTGATCTGACCTCCGGCTCTAACGGAGCTCTGCACTGCTCCAGGTTATCATCTCAGCTGGTTCTGTTTACAAAAGCGAAAGTTACGGCCCATGTTTTCTTTCATTTTCAATATAGTTGTTAGCCGGAGCTTGGCAGTAAGTCCCCACATGATCAGGACAGCACCCTCTATTGTGCCAAGGCGTTAAAAGCATTCACAAGTCAAGCATTGCATCAATATTGCTGCCAAGCGTGGCGGCAGCACGCCGATTTGCTGGCATGATGTATCTTCAGGGTGTTTAGATGAATTATTAGAATATGGTGCAAAAGTTAATTTATTTCAGGAATTCAACTTAAATTGTGAAACTAATATATGAGATCGAGTTATTACATGTAAAGCCAGATATTTCAAGTCCTAACCAGCTCAGTGGCCTAGTGGCAGAGTGGTCGCCCTGGGACTGGGAGATCGGGGTTTGATTCCCGGTCGAGTCATACCAAAGTCTTTAAAAATGGGACCCAAGGCCTCCCTGCTTGACACTCAGCTTTAAGGGGTTGGATTGGGGGGGTTAAACCACCAAATGGTTCCTGAGCGTGGCCACAGCTGCAGCACACCACTCCCCTCGATGGGGATGGGTCAAATGCAGAGATGAAGTTCACCATGGTGTGATGATGACTATGGGACTCTGACTTTAACTTTATTGGTTATACTTGTAATGATTATGGCTTACAGCTTATGAAACCCCAAGTTCAAAAGCTTTAATAAACAATGGATCCCTTTTATTAACGTCCCTAGTATTAAATATTAAGTGTCTTTAAGGATAGGGCAAGGGGGTAGGGTGTCTGCATAGTAAAGTTTAGTCCCATTAGTTGTCACACACACTGATGTGTGTGCGAAATTTGTTCTCCGCATTTGATCCATCCCCTGGGGGAGCGGTGAGCTGCAGACACAGCCGCGCTCGGGAAGTAATGCATTACTTAATATTAACATCAATATTAAGCAGTTGTTAGTACTTTAATAGTCAATTCATTCTTAATAATGCACTAGGTAACATTGATGAAAGGACCCTTATTGTAAACTGTTACCAAATGTTGGCAAAAGGTTTAATATTCAAAGTGGCTAAAATTGATTATTGTCATTTAAAATGACTCTAATCTTTAAAATGTTAAAGCGGTTAATTCTTAGTCTATTTTACAATCTTTACACCTCCTTTAATTTCGCATGACAGTTTTTATTTAATTCTGTGGTTATTTGGTAGCAAAAGCAGCAGCTAGCTCCAGACGTAGCTCACATGGAGCTAATGTCATTACTGCTGCTAGAACAACCATGTGATGTGATAGTAACAGTGGTATGAAGATTCATAACACAGTAACTCAACTCAGGCGTGCCCAAAGTGCAGCCCGAAGGCCATTTGCAGCCGTCAAAATCATTTTGTACGCAACCCCAGTTGCATTCTTGACCACTGCATTTTGTTTCTCCAGCGTGCCGTGCATGTACAATAACACTTTAACATTCCTATGTTCAAGGTTTCACCAACATGCCTATTTTGGATCTATTTTGAGGATTAACAGTGAAAGAAATAATTAAATTTGTTTTTCATTTTTTAAATAAAAAAAAGACTTTGTGGCCAATAAGGACTGTTAACTGGATGATTTCGTCCTTTCTCTTGAAATTTTGGACACTTACGTTAACCGCTATGAAATATTTGAGGTTGGAGTTGTTTTAAGAAGATGGAAATCCACTTTGGTCTCAGACCTGCTTAAATTAGCCGTTAGCCCAATCCAATTCAGAGGGATAGTTGAAAGATCTGCGTTAGATATTTGATGTTTCTATTTTGAACTGTTCATAATATCTTAAATATTCAATTTGATATATTCTGGAAGTGTTTATAGTGAGTGGAAACAATAAGAACATAGTCAGTGGACTAACCTCAACACAGAGACGGGTCAGTTTATGTTTTTCTTCTCTTTTAAAAACATATTTCTCTGTATACAGAGATCCCTGGAATCTATTATTGACTTAGTTTCTGTGTGAAATTCCAGAGATAATCGCCATGGCTGCTGGAGGAATCCTGTTTTCAGGCAACAAAGCACTTTTTCCAGCTTTATCTATCATTTTTTTCCCAGCATGTGCATGTCCTCCAGCTGCAGCGGCATGAGAAAAGCTCAAACAGAAATAGCAGACAACAGAGCAGAGCGTTAGACACATAGCCAGAGCTACTGAGCCGGTAACAATCTGTACAGTGAAGATAGGTGCCTGTTAAATAGATCATTTAAAGTAGAAAGGTGGAAGTGAAATCATGAGAGTAAAAACAAACATGGAGATGTGAGGATAAAGGGGAGATCTGTTATGTCATATCTATGTGAAAAATCAGTTTCCCTTCATTATCACGTATTAAGGAAGAGGATTAGGGCCACTGAAAAGAAAAAAAAGAACAGAAAAATAATTCTGAGTTTATTCTCAAAATTATTACCTTTTCCCCCTAGAAGTCAAACAGTCCAAATTCTGAGAATAAAGTCAGAATTATATCTGTTTTCTTCTTTTTTCTTTTCAGTGGTCTAATCCTCTTCCGTACTACGGATAATAAAATCAGCACCAGCAGTTTTATCTTGCAGTCATACATACATCATTGTACAAGTGGTGTTTTTATTTAAACTGCTCCGACAATTCAGAGAAAGAGAAGAGATCAAAGATGAAACTAGATTTAAAAGTCAGATCCTTTTTCCTCTCCGATGTGTGTTACTTCTAGCCTCACCTCTTTTGAATTATTAATGTCACCTTTAAACTTGTTTGTCTTTTGTTTGCTTTCAGGCATCTTCTTACAACCAATTAACCGGCTTAACTCTTCTCCTCTCGGATTTCCCCGTTTTGCATCATCTACCTGGTCTCCTGACCGTGAAGAAGCACATAACCTCTGAAGAGAGACGCCGAACAGCGATGTACAGCTTTCATTTTGATGTTGCAAAAAAGAAAAAAATAAAGACGAAGAAGAAGAAAAAGATGAAGCGGAGGCAAAAGGATACAAACGTTCAAATGGTTTCTGAGGCGGAGGCTAAGACGTACAGGTCAACGGTTCATGCAAACAAACCAGACTGCAGCTTGTTCCACGAGGTCGGACTCAGACTTCGTGCTTTGGCGCTGCCACCGGAGTGCTGCAAAACATATCAGAAACTTGCATTTTCCTTCATTTAGTGAGTTTGTGGCAATATGTGTTGATGTTTTCTCTCTGACATAAAAAAAGAAACACTATAGCATGATGGATGTTCTGCTTAGGCTGATTTGTTTGGGGGGGGGGGGGGGGGGGGGGGGGGGGGGGGGGGCTTTAAAGGCACAGTGAAGGAGCAACCCCCCCTTCTGTTTTGTAATAAGCTCTTCTGTTTGCTTCATTTTTCTTTCTTGTCACACCTCTGCTTCTAAAGCTTTGGACATGTTGAAGACAGAACTCTTTAGTGAAGGTTCGGGCAGCGGCTCTGCCGGGTCGGAGGTTGAGGAGGACCGATGAGGCGGTGCCTCCAGGTCATGGCCTTACACGTTTGCTGTTTTGCAGCTATGCCTGCCGGGTCCATATATGGTGTTTGGATTCCGGCCTTCAGAGGGAACGCCGCCACATTAAGCTGCACACTTGATGCTGTAAAAGACCGGCTGCTGCTTCTGTTCTGCTGAGAAAAGTGGCTACTTGCTTGCTGACTCGTAGCATGTCCACTCTTGGTGATTCAGTAAAACACCGGCATGAAATCGTGTCACCTTAAACTGAGAATTCATCAGTTTCTTCTTAAACGTGCTGCAACGTAGTCTTAATTCATACGGCAGTGATGACTCTTGTTATGTTCACGTGTCTGATTCTATTTATTTCTTCTCTGCCAACATCCATGTGCGACTGTATGTTTGGGTTGTGTCGTGCATGGCCAGCTGTTTTAGCTAGTCTTAGTGTGCTGCTGCATTTTGCACAATCCAGTCTTTTCATGAAGAAACTCATTCTTTTAAAAAACATAGGTGTGCACCCCTTGCAGGGTTTTTTTTATTTCCAAATGACTGAAAACGACAGGATGGTCTTAGGATATTAAAAACAGTGATCAAGCCCACCCCTTTTGCTTCATTTTAGTAAATGAAGAAAATACAAACTTTTTCAGCTCATGGGTTCCTGGAAGAAAGAAAAAATGAATGCAAGTGAACGGGGCTACCAGAGCTATTTTGTAATCCGCTTGTTGTACTTCAATTTAAATGAAAAGTAATGGTTAGGGATGTCCGAAGTTATCGGTCTACCAATAATATTGGCTGATATTGGCCCTAAAATGTAATACTGGAAAATAATGGTATCGGGTTTTTACTCCTTCGTGACCCTACTTTTACATACCATGCACATATTACACATCAAACTCTTCGGCTTCATCTCCTCTCTCTCAAAATTCCAAAATATGGATTGATGGTTTTTGAGATACTTTCGTTTCATATGACACAACTTGTGAATAATTAGGAATTTTTTATTAATCAAACCTTTTCCCACCATGAACTTAATGAATATCTTTTGCCTGAAGATATCTGTTGGAGACAAATTAAACATGGGGGACCCTGCATATATCGGCATCGGTTAATACCGGTATCATGTCGGTAAAAAGCCACCTGGCATCCCTAGAAATGATGCGTGTTTCGACCACACCAGTCGTGCACTTTGACATTCATCAGCTTGTAAAAGTTTGTAATTACCATGACTACAAATCTGACATTGGCACGTTGCATGTATGACGTCACCACAGAGTCTCCTCTCCCCTAGCGTAACTGCTGTGTACCACATGGCCAGATTTGTGGTGGTTTTTTCCTCCTGAATGAAAGATTCAATGTTCGCTGAACTTACAGCCATTTTCCCTCGGGTTTTCTCCGTTTCTAGTTTGATGGCGTCACGTTGGTGATGAGCATTTGTAATCCTGGATGAGTTTTCACACAAAACCTAAAACAACTTTTGCCGCCAGTGGAAAAAAAGCACTTTCTTGGCATCAGAATGCATCTATAAAATTCATCGTATGTGACATCCGTGGCACATAACAAACGGAATTAGAAAATATAGTTTTTAGCCCCATTGACTTGCATTCTTCCTGGGACCGATGATCTGGAAGTAGATGGGTGAGACTTAAGCTTCCTACAGACCCTGTGATTCACTAACCATCAGAAACCTGGATGTGGTTAAGAACTTGACAACGTTTGCAGCTGGAGGACTGTCACATGTCCATGTGGCTCCTTAAGTCTTCATCCAAAGTCCTCTGAACCATTTGGGATTTTGTTCAGAAAGCTGTGCTTTGTTAAGGGCAGGTACCACAGTGCTTTTCACCATAGTGTCACTGGTGCACATTAGAGAAAATAAACAAATGTTTCAATCTCATAAAGACCAAAAAGCAGCAAATGTCTTAAAATATTTGGTGTTTTTTCTCTGTCTGTCTACGCCGACGTGTTACGGCTGACGTGAACTCCACTGTAAAAGTCTTGTTGGGTTTTGTTTTTTTATTTTCTGATGATTTTTGAGTCACATCAGGTTGCAAAAAAAGATGTGGTTCAGCTCTTTGTGCCACTCAGAAATCCCTTCTATTGTTAATTTGAAGACTTCTACAGAGACCATTGTGGCTCCATAATGCTGACCACATCCAGCCGCTGAACTAAAGAATCTCTGGACTCGCCAATCAGAAACGAGCATTCCTTTCCCAAAGAAAACAAGTTTCCCTGGCAACAGCCAGAAATGAATGACCCCTTCAATTTGCACCTAATTGCTGGCATTTACCCATCCGTCCCCCCCCCCCCCCCCCCCCCCCCCCCCCCCCCCGTTTCTTACCCTCTGTTTTATCTAAAGTGGTTTAGCTTTGCTCAGACTGCAGCTTTCTACGATGATGTAAATGAGACAGAAGATACTGTCTGTGTGCATCACCTTTCTGTTTTTTTTCCATCGCGGTGACTTTTATTTCAATTTTATATGGCGTTATTTTGTACATGTGATTTTTTTCACAATGTGAAATTCATGGCTAATAAACATAAGAGTTTTTTCCTCTTGACTCTTCTGCCTCGTCTCTTTCTCACTTTAGTTTAGAGATGACTATGCTGATGATATGCTGACGTCTTAAGACGGATTCATGCTTCTCCGTCAGCTCCAAAAGGGAGAGAGACGCACGCATGGACTGACGGAGACATTTTGCCCTCATACTCCTCCGTCTCCTGGGGAGTGTTGCAAAGCAATTCCCCGCCAGGACAACAGAAGGTGTAGCTCTTTTCTGTGGTATCCTGTCATGTATCCGGTCCAAGATAGTGTGTTTATATTGTGTTTTTTTCTGTATTTAAGAGACTTTTTAACACGGACAAATTTGTCCCTTATTCTCCTTCACCTCTTCATACACTCGCCACCTCTAACCCCATGTTTCCCATCATTTGCGTCCACGAATACAATTCTTGCTTGCTTTTCTCTCCTCCAGTCACGAGGGAATAAAACATTCATGTTTTCGGTTTTTCTACAAGGTATTTTTCAAGCTGCTCCATGTCTGCCGCTAGATATCCTCGGTTTAGGGCCGACTCACCTACTAAGGTGCTGCTTTAGACTGAAATCAGCACACGGGTCCTTCTCATAATATTTAGGCGACTTTTAAATGATACAGCGGCTCACGGTGTCAAGGTATTTAAGGGTGGCATGTCATGCATACTGGATTTTGTTCTTCGGAGGAGGAGGGGGTTGAAATACTCTTTATCTGTGCCTCTAGCTTCCTGCTCATGAACAGCCAGATACTTTCCCTTTTTCTGTCGAGTCACCTTGGCAACAGCAACCTTTATCTGCAGAGTGTGGGGGGTTGAAGACTACATGAAATCTTAAGAAGCACCTCTGTTCTCCTTCCCCCATTGCCGTTCTGGGCCAGCCTCACCTCTAGGATGGAGGCTTTCTGAGCTTGTAACAAGGCTAACGGCCATTAGTGACGGACTGTGGAGCACATGGTCACTTGCTGCTGCATTCCTCCAGCTCCTGACTAGAAAAATGCACTTTTACTAGATCTTAAAGCTCATGCTAATAAAATTCACATTGAGGAATTTAGGGTGGTCTTCTGTTGTAAAATGGTCTTCATGTTTTTTCTGAAGCCCCACAAAAGCCAAGGGAGGGAAACTAGTTGTTACACAAGGTGAAATGTTGGGGCTCAGTATGTGGGAGGCCCCTCTGTGTGATCCCAAAGTTAATCAAGACAGGAAGTTGGACTTCCTGTCTGCCAGGAAGCAGCTCTTAGCCACCCCCCACCCCACTAGGACACGCTGTGGATGGTTCAGCTCTCCAACACTGATTCCTCTGGGTGCTTTTAGTTTCTCCAGCAGACTCTAGTCTGGTGTTTTGTGTGGGCGGTGAGTGCGTGTGGCCCGATGTGATAAAAACAATGTACCTTACACTGTCACTGTTGCCCAGCAACACCAGCATCAGCCACAACTCGGCTGTGCAGGCACACACCAGATGCATTCAGAGTTTCAGCGCTTGAGCTACTGCCCTGTAACTAAAAGAGAAATGACATTGGCAAGCAACACCAAAACAACTGGCATTTGTAAATTGGGCGAGTTGCTGGTGAAGCAAAATAGAAGGAAAAGAAACGAACAGCGTTCATGCTGGTTTAAAATCAATGTCTCTGAACTCCCAACACCAAAGTCCCTCACAATGCTGTGATTTCGCCACTTTGTGGTCTCACAGAGCACTTCTTTTGGTCATTGAACGTCACTCTTAACCTCACCCAGCCACTCTCCTCTGTCCCCAGATGGATTAGATTACAATATTACAACCTACACTGACAGAATGAAACTTTTGATGTTCGTTGACATCTTTTTAGGCACTGATTAGTGAAGTCACTCACGAGTAACGAAGCAGTCAGGATATGCTGACGTCTTAAGACGGATTTATGCTTCTCCATCAGCTCCAAAAGGGAGAGACACACACGCATGGACGGAGACATTTTGCCCTCATACTTCTCCGTCTCCTGGGAGCGTTGCAAAGCAATTTCCCACCAGGACAACAGAGGGCGTAGCGCTGTTCTGTGGTATCCTTTCATGTATCCGGTCCAAGATGGTGAGTTTATATTGTGTATGTATTTATTTTTTTTATATTTAAGAGACTTTTTAACACGGTCAAATTTGTCCCTCATTCTCCTCCATACACTCGCCACCTCTAAACCCAGGTTTCCCATCATTTGCGTCCACGGATAAAATTCTTGCTTGCTTTTCTCTCCTCCAGTCACGAGGGAATAAAACGGTCATATTTTCGAGTTTTTCCACGAGGATTTTTCAAGCTGCTCCATGTCTGCCGCTAGATATCCTCAGCTTTCTTTGTTTTTGAAGGAGCAATGGCGGTGGTGTAGACAACAGCGGTGTCCTGACCAATCACAAGCTTGCGTTCTCTGTCTCGACAGACGAATGTTTAGAAAAGAGAGCTCAACTCCGTCCAAGGACGGATAACGGTGTTGCGTGTGTCCATCCCGACGCAGACGGAGAAGTATAATTTAGGCTTTAGCAAAGTCCTGAAATTTTGTTGGGCTGAGAGGAACTTGGAACCGTGGCTAACACTTAGAAGGTCCGCTTTAGGTTCTGAACTAACAGTTCAGACCACACGATGCTGCCTTTACTTAGAAGTATATTTATGCTTTACAAAGTGAACTTGAAGATCTGCTACCTGATCATTTCTAGTTTCTGAGAATTTCATCAGCTGACAGGAGAGGAGGTGAGACGCCCCCATATGTTTCACCCACAGCTCCCAGCACTCAAGAGTGCTTGGTTTAAAGTGTAAACCATTCCAGACTCACATCCAGACACACCGGTGGTGTCAGAGATGCTTTTAAAATGAGTATCCACTGGGTTGAGCTCACTCTGACCTCATCTTACATCAGCATTCAGGCAGCAGCGGAAAACCAACACACCTCAGGCAAAGTTTAAAGAGGCCTACTCATTTCCATCAAACGTCCCAGGATGGAGATTTGTTCATTCTTTCGCAGACGATTATAAATATATGAAACACAATCTTATAATACCAACTTTCTTCATCCTTTTTATATTATCTTTGGTTAAAACTCGCCTGCTGGCAGATCTGTTTCAGACGCCCTTCAGGCGCTTATCAGAACCACGAGGCAGATTTAGGAGATAACACACTGGACTGCAGAAGAAAGGTCTGATCTTCTTTAGAATTGCTCAACAACACTGAAAGATTCCTGCAGAGATGTTTCCTGGTTTTTGAATGTTGATCTCTGAGCTTAGTCTCCAACAGTTCTACTTTCAGTTCTTATCTTTTAGTGTTTTTAAATAAGTCCCTTTCATTTCATCTGGTCCATGACTAACACGTCTTTGTTGGCTCTGTTGACGCTCCATGGGATGCACCCTTCTCCCCGTGTCATTGTGAAAAGGCTGAATGAAAATGGATGTGAGGTAATTAACTCTGAGGAGGTCTACTCACACGCACAATGCCTCTGCACTGCTCTAACCCCCCCCACCCCCACTCCCACCCCCGTCTTTTGTCTCCCACTTGAGTCATTACAGTAGCCTCCTCCCTGGAAAACACCCCACCACCCACCCCGGCCTTAGAATTTATGGAGAGATACCCCGCTGATTGAGGTGTTCTGCTGGCAAAAGCGACTTTACTGCTTCAACATCACCCTAAGTGATTTCCAATCAGGTAAGGATATTCTGAAAAGTGCTGTAATTAACCAAACACTGGGGAGTAACAAATACGCGGCTCACCTTGACACTACCGGCCTCACAGGCTGCTCGAAGAGGAACTTTTGCATTCATTTAATCTAAAGTCTCACGAATTAGAAAACTTTCTTAGTGATAAGATTTAGATGTGGAAAATTAATTATTTTTAACATTAAATTTAAAGCCAAACAAGTTCCTTTTGACTCCAATTTACAACGTTTGTTTTAACAAACCAAACACGCTTGAATGGGACACACTGACCACTTTCCACACTCGACTACTTTGTTCTTCAATCTGCTCTTTAACTGTATTATTTCCTGCTATTTCAGCTGTTAACTTCATTTTTTCTCTAAGTGTTTTTTTTCTCCCCAGAAGAAGCTACAATGATGCTCTGCTGAGCTGTGGTGGCCTCATGGAGGGGGCCATCGGCTTGAACACTGTTGCTAACCACTTAAACATTCTCCCTCTCCTGATAATAACACTTTACTTTCGTAGACATTGAATGTGCTACTACTAGTTTACCCGTTTAATTATAGATTCACTAGGATAAATACAATAAAGTTTATCTCTCACCAAATAGAATATTTACTAAGAAATCACAACGTAACCACAGAAACACTACTTGGTATATATGTTGTGTGTGTTGACGTGTGTTTGTGTGTGGGTGGGCTGCTGTTGGTGTATGCGTGTGTGTCTGCTCTGTCTTCTCGATCCCCAGTGAGTCGTGGTGGATGGTCCTAACCCTAACCCTAACCCTGAACTATTAAATAACCTTTATGTTGAAGTCAAAATGATAAAAAAAAAGTCTTCTTTATGTTTGGATTTTCTCCCTTTTGTTAAAACAAAAGGTGCAGAATTAAAAACCCATCATGCATTATTTACTGGTATGAATTTTTGGACCAAAAGGAAATAAAAATGCAACAATTCTTAAATTAAGTTATGTAATTATGAGATTTAAGCGCCCCTGATGGAGCGGAGAGGTTGTTTTTTTATCAGGACAACTTCAGCAACACTGCCACAGCAACCTAGCCTAGTGAACTAGACCAAATTCTTGCTTTGCAAAGTTTAAATAATACATTTATTTAGTCTGGCTTGCCAGGCTAACAGCAACCGGTAATTCAAAAGAAAATATGGGTTAACTAGAAACTGAATTAAGTGGTCAGCTGTGTGCACTCCACTTAGCCAACTAGTCAAAATATGCTAACAACGATGCACATAATCACAGATCCAAGCTACTGTTTATTATATTGTGTATCCTCAAGTGAATCCTGAAAAAATTATAAATAGACACGAGTAAATAATGCATAAGCTGCAACTATGAGATTCATAGTTTGGTTAGGAAAAGATGTGTAATAAT